GGGGCCATGCAGGAAAGAAGGAACTGGGAAGGAGAAATGGGACTTTCACAAAACTTAACTTGCCCTGTTGAACGAGTCACAAGAGACCAAGCAGGCTGATGGCCTGATCATACGATGGAAGATCATTCTGGCCACATTTTAGAAGTTAGACTGAAGTGGAGAGACATTTTATTGGATAGATTGAAACCTCTTTTGTATGTGTTGTCTTTATCCTACCCACAAGGTTATAAATTCCTTTATTCTTAAGATTGTGTCCTATTTACCTTGTTTATATTTGATAATCAATGAATATTTGAATGAATATGTAAAGCAGCACATCAGCCAAACAAGGCTAATAATAAGGGCTGAGGACTGGCATTTTGCTGTTGGTTTTATTTTTATTATAATGAAATATAGTTTGGGACTGGAATTAGTGATTTCAGTCTTTTATCATATTACTGCACATAGTAACATCATTAAAAGTTACTTTAAGTTGGTGATTTAATGGCCTATTAAAATATAATGTTATCTTATATGGATATTAGATGAATATTTCTTTAAGGATTGAAAATTTTTTTTCTAGCCAAATTTAAATGTCAGTAATTCCAAATGAGAGTTCTGTACTACTTAAATTCAGACTTTAAATTGAGACTGGGAATTTTCCTAAACCAACCTAGTAATTTTACTACACATTTAAGAAATGTGACCTTTTGAACCACTAGATTTATAAAATATGAATTCTTTATGTTCCTGGATTTGATTAGATATCTCGTTATTGAAAAACTGTCAGTGGAATAAGGTCATTGAATTCATATGACTTTTGAGAAAATCACCGGATCTTTGTAAATATGTAAAATTGTGTAAGATTCATCATTATTTATTTGCTAATTATGACAATTAAAATGATTCTTATGGAGCTTCTAATTCCCCATCCCAATATTTGATTTGAAACAAAAAAAGAAAAAGTGAATTAATTTATTTTTCCTGATTCCTCCTTAAGGAAGTAAACCTAATAGAATATATATGAATAACAATTTGATATCAAACTACATTTAAAGAATTCTTAGCCATAAGGCTATTCAACTGGATAAGTACTTGTACTGTGTCTGGACTGTCTTAAATCAGTGCAAGTAATGGTATAGATCCTAGTAATGGTAAGTAATGGTTAATCCCTTAAGTCCAAGTTTGAATTTTGTGTCAGTGAGGAAGCCAGCTGAGAGGTTTGGCATGCATGTGCACAGTTCATCTTAGCTCCCACTGCCTTTAAAAAAAAAACAAACCCAAAACTGTCCATTTGGTTCTCACATTGGGGCTTAATGATCTCTGGATGTCCAAAAATATGTTTTGGATAATCCAAGAGTTCCAAAATTCTTTAATTTTATTTTTGCATTTTGATGAAAATATTAAAAGAACACTATAAATATATTCTGGATCATGTGGATAGTTACCTTGCCGATTTTAGTGTCCACACATGCGTATTTGAAGTTATAAATTCATTAATACTAAATGACTACCTAGACGATATATAGTGTTTAATTTCTTAATTTAGGGTTTCTCAAAATAGGAATCAGATTTCTAGTCTCTCCACCACTGTGACCCTGCCTTCTTCTTGCCACTTCAAGAGATAAGTTGTTGATGTCTGAGCAGTTTTTTTCCCTTTAACTTGGGTTTGAAAAACATTGACTTAGCCCATGTGGGGACTGATTAAAGTTTAAATTGATGTTAATAGTCGATTATTTGGAATCACAGATTGCTATGTTCATCTCTATATTAATAACAACGTGGCAGCTTTCTCAGGAGTTAGGTTACCTGAGATAAAGATGAAGTGGGGTCTGTGGTGTAAGGCGGGGGCACAGGGGTACAGGGAAGACAGACACCTGTAATTTGACATCCCCAGTTCTCTTTTCATTGCTGCTGACCTCATCTTGGGTCAATCCTGTTGTCAGATGAGAAGTTGGTTAGGAATTTTGTTGTTCTCAGATTGCAGTAGACCAGAAAAGATGAAGAGAATGAATAAGTAAAGAAGTCAGAAGTGGTGGCAACCATGAGGGAGGAAGGAGTTTAGCAGCCATCTGTATGGGCAGCATGCCCATAGGTTTCATTTTTAATTCTGTTGAATATAAAAATTACTAATTGATAGGCCTACCTTAAGGACTCATATTTATTTGAGTTGACCGATTAAACCTGACAGAGGAATACAAATCTTTCTTGTTTATTCCTTTTTCCCCAGGGTATAATTTTTTAAAATTCTTATTTAACGTACTAAAAAGCACTAATAAACAATAAAACAATTTCAGGATGCATGTTCATGTAAGCATATAAATTTAAGTTTGCTTATAATTTGGTCATAACCCAAATAGCATAAATTATAAACACTTTTCCAGTTGAGTGGAAAGGGCTCATCTGGGGTAGAGACTTTCTTTGCAGCTAAATTAAGCAGGTACATATAGCAAAAGTGACTGATCCAGCATTGTGAAAAGGATTAGAAAACAAATTCTTGAGACATATACATAGAATGGACTCTGGTGAACCAAGAAAGCAAAAATATTGAATGAAAATATTGTGCCTCACTTGTGTATCTTATTTATAGTAAAGGTCAAATATGTGATTACAAAGAATATGGTGATCCCAGGACAAAGCATCCTCTTTGCAATTCCTTGACAGCTGGCTGAGCACACCCTCTGTGTTCCTCTGGAGCATTCTTACATTGGGAAGTATTTATTTCCTGTGTGGAATCTTCACTTTTAGCCCACTGGCCCTCAATTCATGCTTAAGGTCTGATGTTTTGTTGACTAATCAAATTGTCCTGGATGAGGTAGTCATTTTCATTGTGTGTGATGTTTCTGACCTCTCCTAAAAATTAGAATGAATCTACTTTTACTGTTTAAGAATAAAAGAGCATGGGCTAGCCACAGTGGCTCACACTTGTAATCCCGGTGCTTTGGGAAGCCAAAGCAGGAAGCTCTCTTAAGGACAGGAGTTTGAGACCAACCTGGGCAACATAGCGAGGTACCAAAACCATCTCTATAAAAAATTTTAAAATTAGCCAGGTGTGGTGGTACACACCTGCTACTCTGGAGGCTGAGGTGGAGGGATCGCTTAAGCCCAAGAATCAAGGCTGCAGTGAGCTTCTGTACTCCAGCCTGGGTGACAGAGCAAGACACTGACACTCCCACCACCCCCAAAAAGAATAAAAGATCATATACAGTTGATTGTTATGGACATTCTTAATACTTTTTGTTTTTACTTTGTTTACTACAGCTGATGCTATTAATAATGCTGCAGGCTTTGGTTTCAGAGGATATGACAAAAATGGAGCAACTTGTTGGGACTTAATTTCCAATTTGAGAATTCAGCAAATAGAGGTTAGTAAATCATTAAGTTAGTAATATGTGACACCTTAAGTATCATAGTTTGCTGTCATAGTTTATGATATGATGTCCTAAGAGTGATAGTATTGAAGGAGTTTTAATAAAATGCACACTTTCATTCAAGATTTTTTGGTCATCGAATGTATGCCCTGAGCACTGAGGATCCAGTGACTATGAGGTACAATTTGATCCCTCAGGGAGGGGTCCCAGAATACAGAAAAATAGATGATCAGAGAGGCATAGTACATGTGGGTGTTTATGAGTTAGAAATCCAACTTAGATTAGGTGACTCAGGGAAGAAGGTCCTAAGGAAAATGACCTCTTAAGCCAAGTACTAAATGGTAAATAGGAGCAACTGACACTCCAAGTAGAGGGAGTAACCTGAAGGGGTGAGAAAGGGTGTGTGGCTACTCTGAGAAAGGGAGGAGTAGAGGCCAGGCAGCCACATTCATAGAGGCCATAGTAAGAGTTTTGACTTTCCTTATAAGAGCAGTGGAGCGCTGTGTCTGGGCCATATATATGCAAGCAAGCGAGATGATCATACAGACATTTTAGAAGGATCTGACATGTGGAATGTGTTGCCCTCAGGAGACACAGAGATCTCTTGGGAGGATGTTGTGTTAATCCAAGATGATGGTGACCTAAACCAGGATACTTCCATTAGGACTAGAAAGACATACATGTATTGGAGAGCTGTATAGGAGACCCCACAGTACTTGGTGATAAATTGGAATTAGCAAGAGAGAATGAGCTATGAATCAAACTTGGTGTCTGGTTTAAGCAGCTAGGCTTATGGTGATAACTTTCTCTTAGGTATGAAACAAAGGACAGACGCAGGTTTGAAGGGAAAGGTAATGTGTTCAAACTTCAGACTTGCTGAGTTATCCAGGAGGCAAATGAATGTTCAGAAACTCAGCAGAGATATCTGAGCGTGAGATCATAATTTGGGAACTATCAGCATGTAGCTGCTTAACCCCTGGGAGACAGAATGAGAAGAGACGAGACTCCCCAAAGGAGCATGACCACTTAGAGGCTGGAAAACGGAAGGCAATTCAAGGGGAGTAGCCATAGTGAGAAAAGAAAAGGCATTGCTTTGCCAGCCTGTTTGAAAAGGATTATTCCAAATAGGAGAAAGACTACAACTTTAGGTGAAAGGATGACAGAGAGCTTTATAAGGAGTTGATCAGGCTGGACTCAATGATGAGCCTCTTAGTGTTACTAAAATTGGACAGTCAGGCATTAAGTGCCTGTGGATATGGTGCCATAGGAAGTACAGCTCTGTCTTTTAAGTTGTTTGCCATGATAATTAAACCTGAATCAGGTCTCTAGAACCTTCTAAATTTAGAGGGAATATGGAGTATAGATAATAAGTTAAACACCAGATCCAGAACTGAGACATATGACCCAAGCTATTACAGATTGAAAGAGACTTTGGTAAAATGTACTGTATAAACTTTTTTTTTTTTTTTGGATCCTAATTGAACAAACCAACTGGAGAAAGAGATTTTTAAAAAAACAGTAAGGAATCTTTGAATACAAAGTGGCTATTAGATGATAGTAAGGAATTACTGATTTGTTGGGGCTGATCATGGTTTTCTAAGGCCCTTATTGGACATAAATTCTGAACTATTTACAGGTAAAATAAGATATCTGGTATTTATTTGTTTTGAAATACTCAGCAACATCAGTAATAAACATGGAGATGAGGAGGGGAAAAGTGATAATTGTTGAAGTTGATAATGGATATATAGCAGTGTTTCTAACCTTTTGTTCATTATTATAATTTTAAGGAGACTTTTGAGACACTTTTTCCTTAATCATTCCCTCCATGAAGTTTTAATACCATAGATATACTGTATATCTTATTGATATACTACTATATGTATGCATGTGCTTTATACATAAAAAGAGTAAGATATTGTCTTAGACATGTAATCCCAGCACTTTGGGAGGTGGAGGTGAGAGCATTGCCTGAGCTCAAGGGTTTGAGACCAGCCTGGGCAACATGGAGAGACTTCCTCTCTACAATAAATAAAAAAATTAGCCGTGTATGTTGGTATGTGCCTGTGGTTCCAGCTACTAGGAAGGCTGAGGCAGAAGGGTCAACTGAGCCCAGGAGGTCGAGGCTGCGGTGCCTGTGAGCATGCCACTGCACTTCAGCCTGGGCAACAGAGTAAGTCTCCTATTCAAAAAAAAGTAAGACATTTATGCCCCATAAAAACCAGTTTTCATCCTCATGGGGGCGATATATCACCCCTGTTGAGAAAGCATAGTGTTTAAAAAAAAGTAAAGAAAGGAGTTAATTTTTCTGAAGGAGGAAATGTTCATCAGTGCTAAATGCCACTGAGATACCAAGTAAGATACACACTGGCAAATGCCTTTATCATTTATGGTTTTGTAATCAACAGTTTCAGGGGAGGGATCCTTACAAAGGTTAGATTATACAACTCTTAGGAGTTTATTACCCATAAAGGGAAGGAGGGAAGAGACGGGACCATAGCTGATAAGAACAGGTAGTTGAGGAGAGCTGTTTTTTAAAAAATTGTGTTCCCAAAATGGAGAGGTTGAAACATGTTTAACCACTAATTAGGAGAGTACTTGAAGGAGGAGAGTGTGAAAATATGGTTGAAAGAGAGAGAGACTGACTGACTCCTATTGATAAATGTGGTCTCCGAGAAGATGGAAGTGGGGAAAGGTAAAGAGATTGATCCTAAAGAGGAAGGGCCACTTCTGTCATAAAGACAGTAAGGAAGTAGGGCAAGTGTGCATGCAGCTGAGCTTGTAGTTTTGATGGTGAGAATTTGAAGTCTGATGTTGCTATCCTCTTTATAAAGTAGGAGACCAAGTTATCTGTTGTGAGGGAAGGAAGAGGTGATAGGATCAGAGATACAAGTGGGGAACTTTTAAAGTATTGGGTTGATCCATACGAAATTGCTGATGACTTATCTCTTGAAGTATTAGACTGACCCTTATGAAATTGCAGATACTCTTTTTTACTAACCTCTCCCACCCCCCACCCCCCAGAAAAGACAAACTAAGGGTTCAGTCCAATAGCTGTTTTCAAGGAGAATGAACTCTCTAGAGAAACAAGGATTGCTTGGTAGGTTGAGGGCCCCATTGAAGATAAGACTTAGGACAAAGGTCTAGAATGTGATGTGATATTTTGCTCCAAGCATGCACATGCTCCCGGTAGGGAAGGTGGAAAATATAGTTAATCTGGAGTTAGGATTTGGATAGGCAGGGAAGTTGAAAGGAAAAAGAAACAGAGGCATCAAAGATACTGACAACAGTGTACTAATAATGGACCATGGGATCTAAAACGGTCAGAAGTGAAGACCAGCGGAGGAGAGAGTTAACACAGGATAAAAGTAGACAGACTGGGAGACCAGAAGTCCCCTCAAAGTTCTAAGACTAGCTTTAGAAGGAGGAACTTGAGTGAGGAGGCTGGAAAGGTAGGAAACCCTAGTCTGAGAGATGAGTATGCAGATCTTTCAGGGACAGCACAGAGCCAAGTGGTGCCATGATTCAGAGTAGCCAGAGAACTGAGAGAAGACAGCTGAGTGGGTCATTGCTGAGGAATGATAGTAGAGCTTTGCAGGGAGAAGTTAATGAGGTGGATGCTCCAGTCTTCAGGATAAAAGGGCAGATCATTAAAAGGACATGTGAATACTCTGTCAAAAATGTCTCTAAGCCCAGTAGATGGCTCATGCCTGTAATTCCAGCGCTTTGGGAGACAGAGGTGAGAGGATTGCCTGAGCCCATGGGTTCAAGACCAGCCTGGACAACATGACGAGACCTTGTCTCTATAATAAATCATAAAATTAGCTGGGTATGGTGGCGCATGCATATAGTTCCAGCTACTTGGAAGGCTGAGGCAGAAGGATCGCCTGCGCCCATTAGGTCGAGGCTGTGGTGGCTGTGAGCATACCACTGCACTCCAGCCTGAGCGACAGAGTGAGACTCCAACTCCAAAAAAAAATCTCTGGACTAACACTATGATAGCCCTTGTAAATGTTTATATATAGGAGAAAATGATGATAATCCGTTTACTCATAAACATTTCCAACAATAAACTCTTTTTATGTAGAATGATATTACTATATTAGAAAAATAGTACTAAGGAATGAGAAATCAGTACACGACCATCAATGTTAGGTAGTTTTTCATTTTAATTTGTTGGTACAACATATTGTTACTTATCTCTAAAACTTTATTATTGTGTTGCCCAAAGAAAAAAGATCCTTTGTTTTTCAGATGTCAACAAGTTTCAAGATGTTTCTTGATAACTGGAATATCCAGACAGCTCTTTGGCTCAAAAGGTATGTTCCTTCAAAAACAATCTTTAGACTGGCTTTGGCATCTAGTCCTTGAGGTTGAGCGTCACTGAATTCTTGATTAAATTAACTGTGCTGCGTGACGTTGGGACCTCAGTGTTAGCCAGGAAACAGTTAGCATCCTCCTCAGCACGGCTGTCAAATCAGAAGTTTCAGTGTCCTCCTTGGTAGATCCTGATCTCATTCAGTAAAGATTTGATTTTAAACAAAAAAGTGCTTATACAACCACTATACATATACCCTGCTTTCTAGAGCAGTTTCAGTTTTAAATGTTTCAATTCAACAGAGCTTTATAGGTTAGGCACAGGATACAAAGGTGACTAAGAAAAAAGGGTCCAGCCCTGGAAGTGAAAAATGTTGCAATTTTGTTAAAGACACAGTAGTGTTAGGAGACACATGCTGTTCTCTGTAGTGAGGGTTGGGGGATAAGAGAAAGACCGCGGGCACAAAGGGAAATGAGGAAGAACTCCCTGGAAGAAGTGGGTGCTGGAGCTGAGGTTTATGGCGGGAATGTGTCCGGTGGACAAAGGCAGGGGACAGGAAGCCCAGGTAGGGTAACAGGTATGCAGGGCAGAAATGGGTAATGGCACAGAAACTCCTAGGGATTCTCTCTCAGTGTCCTCATAAATGCATTGTCCCATCTTGAATTTATTTCATAAAATACTGCCCTTGTAATGATACGGCTCTAAGTAGGCTTCTTTTTTAGTGTCTTTTTTTTTTCCATGACAAATTGAATATCCTTGTCTCTTGAGATAGCCAACATACATTATCATCACTTCATGATACCTTGCAGTCTCCCCAGTGGATGCAGATTATCTGAGCTAATCTGTGGTGTTACTTTTTTGTTATATTTTAAATTTGATACCTTAGGAAAACCTTATTTTCACCAGAGTTTTTTACTTGTTATAGGAAAACTTCAGACTAAGCACAGCCTACTTGCCAGAAAGAATAGTATTATTAGATCAGTTGAAAGTTCTTGATTTTTTTTTAAGTAACAAAATAATGTAGATTAAAAATAATTTAATATTGGGTAAAATTTATTTTTTAATACATTTGATAGACTCCCAAACACTAGAAATGATAATTTTAATTATATATACCAATAAGAAGATGGGAATTAAATTTATATTGCTTATTTGACACTGAATAGCTATAAGCTCCCTGAGATCATAGATTAAGTTATTGCCTAAGATAAGTTTTGTTTTTCTGGCTACCCTAACTCTTGTAAGGTAATAAAAGAATGATCATTGCAGGCTTTGCAAACTCAAATCACTCACTCCTCTTGGCTCTCCATATTTTTCATGGTTTCCAGGGTGTGTTATGAACGAGCCTCCTTCAGTCCAACTATCCAGACGTTCATTCTCTCTGCCATTTGGCATGGGGTATACCCAGGATATTATCTAACGTTTCTAACAGGGGTGTTAATGACATTAGCAGCACGAGCTGTAAGTATTAAGAATTTTATTTTATAATTCAATGGTCCACTTAAACTATTATAAAAGGCTGAGTAAATCCCTTTTACAAGATATACCTTATTTCTTTGGCCATGATCATCATCATACTTTCCTCCAGAAGCAAGGTGTGTAACTGTATATGTGTTTACTGAGTACTCACCATAGGCTAGGCTACATGCTTAGGTTATGTGAGGAGAAGACATGTTTCTATGTGCCTGACACATAGGAAGCATTCACAAAATGTTACTTTGTCTTTACAGAATTTTCTGAAAGAGAGATAAAAACTGAGTTATATTAAGATTATCAGAATGGGTAGGTTTATTTGAGAAATATTTCCCGGAAGCTGTAACATTTCAGTCTTCTTTTAAATGAGGAGTGGATGGTAGATAGGCTAAGAGAAGTGGTCATTTCTAGTGGTAGACACCGCATTAAAAGTGGGGCACAGTTGTTTGGAGTGTTTGCCTGATTAGAACCTCAAGTAATATTTTGGGAAACAATTAAAAATTTAGGTGACATGGGAGAGGTAAGGAGAAGGATAATTTTGTGTAAGTTCTTGAATGTCAATTAGAAGAGAGTGACATGACAAAAACAGTGTTTGAACAAGCTTATTATGACACTTAGAGTTAAAAGGGCTTTGTTTAACAAACCAGCAGATATTTACTGTATTCAATTTTAAGGCACCTTGGAATTTTATGAGGGAAATTTCAACAAGTATTAACTTGTTGAAATATAAGGACTATACCATTTGGCAGTTTGCAGTCTGATTTGGGACATAAGGTGTATCTGTATATATTCCTTAAGTTTTTGTGCATCACAAGGCACATGTGAGAGTTTCCATGGGTATTATAAATAGTAAGTACTATAAGCGTTTAGAGATAAAAGAAATCTCTTGTGGTTAGGAGAGAAGGCCTCATTAGGAAAGTGTTTGGATCTGGGCTTTGAAAGATGAAAGTTATTTCAATAGTGAGTAAAGTGTAATGAGGGAGAAAATGACATTCCAGGCATGGGAAGGACATTAGCAAAACCAAGTTTAGAAGTGCATGGTGTATTTGGGGAATGCCAAGTAAATCTAATTGAAGTGGAGAATTAATGTATGCATAGATAGTGAATAATTTTGAAAAGGCAAATGGGGGAAGGGAGAAGGCTAGTGATAAAGGAACTTGAACATCAAGCTGGAACAGACTCTATTCTGTCTGTAATATCAGGGAATCAGATAGGATTTTTAAGCGTGGGAATGGAATGCTGGAAGCCATCCCTTAGATAGTGGATTTGTCACTGGTAGACAGAGTAGAATAAAGAAAGGTGAGTGCTGCAGCAGTGAGCTCTGCAAGAAATAGCAGGTGCCAGGATTTGTTCTGGCCACTAGGAATGATGGCCTCTGTATGAAAAAGCCAGTCACTATGCACCAGCTCACCTCTGAACAATTCATGTGGCGTGTTCATAGCAGGGCCTTGGTTTACCTGTAAACAGACAAGAAAGTTTACACATTTCAAGACTGAAATGTTTTGGCTGTTTTGAAAGCTGAAAAAAAAAGGTATTAAAATAGTGGATATTGCTAGCCTCGACAACAGAGTGAGACCTCATCTCTACAAAAAAATTTAAAAGTTAACTAGGCATGGTGGTGTATACCTGTAGTCTCAGCTGCTCAGGAAACTCAGGTAGAAGGATTGCCTGAGCTTAGGAGGTTGAGCCTGCAGTGAGCTGTGATCGTGCCACTGCACTTCAACCTGGGTCACAACTCAGAAAAATAAAATAATAACATAAAATAAAATAGTGGATGTTAGAAAACGCCTTTTTTGAGAAGCTCTCCCTGCCTCTATTAATGAATGATACATATGGATGCCATTTATTTAAGTACCATTTGACCTAAGCTCAGTCAGAATGCCTGTTTGTCTCTACAAATGCAGAGAGTTTAAACAAGAGATAAGAATGAAATTGCATTAAACTTTATTTACATAATGTGCTTTACCAAATATGACTTAAGGAGCTCTAGGCAGTGTAGTTTTTAACTTTTTTTTGGGGGGGGGGCTTTATTTTAATATAATTTCAAGTCTGCAGAAAAGTTGTAAAGGACTCTCATATGTCCTTAGCCCAGATTCACCAGTTCTTTATGTTTCCCTGTGTACCTCCTTATCCCTCCCTCTACTCTTTTGTACAAATGTGTGTTTGTTTTTTTTGGTATCAACTTGTTCATAGTAGTAGTGCCATTTTAGACTCCCACCAGCAATGTGTGAGAGTTTCAGTTATTTCCCATCCTTGTAACAGTTAATAGCGCCAGTGTAATTTCATAAGTAATGTGAGTTTAGCAATACAGCAAATGTTTTTGTTTCTTTATTTCAGATGAGAAATAACTTTAGACATTATTTCATCGAACCTCCCCAGCTTAAATTATTTTATGATGTAATAACATGGATAGCCACTCAAATAGCAATAAGTTACACAGTTGTGCCATTTGTACTTCTTTCTATAAAACCATCATTTATGTTTTACAGGTAAGTGTTCCTATTAAAAATTTGATCGTGGAAGTTATTTGTAAAAGAAAGTTTCTTGCTCTTGAGTAGAATAGAAAAACAGCACCATAGCCTCATTTTCTGCTGCTAAATGCATTATCAGTTACTTCTTAATCCTAAACCAAGCAGTCTCAGGTTTCTTTGTGAAATGACATCCCGCTCAGCCTTCAGACAAGAATCTGATTTAGACAGAGAAATGTCAGCTGGATAACCACTGCCTCAAATCTCTCATAAATGCTTAACAAAAAAACCTCTTTGCTTATTGTCCTAACCCTGTTAGGAAGAAAAAGACAGTTCCTTACAAAGAACTACTAATTATCTTAATTTCTTTAATCTAAGGAAAGTAAATCATTTAATTATTTCCTTTTAATTCCATCTTTTGTTGCATTGATACTGAAATTGTAAAAAATTATCTTGGATTCCATATTTTTTTGTTAATCTGCTTATCTCTTCTCCTTGCCATAGCAAATTTCATTCACCCATATTAGACAGTGATATTCTTGAGATCAAAAACTTCATTCTTTCATAAATTCTTTACTACTCTAGTGTGTAGAATGACTTAGCACAGAGTATGTGGTCAAAAAAATTATTGAATCAAATATGAGTAATCATACAGGAAGATAGTAAGTAAATCCTGCTAAAATTTGCATTTTAACAAAATTATTACATATTTTTAAATGTGATTGGGCTGCTAGATTTTCTATCCCATGTACTTTGTTCAGAAACACTTGAACTTACAGCTAGCTATAGATGCAGTTGAGATCACCTTGGTCTATATTTAATTCGGGGAATGGTGATTCTAATAATATGTTCAATAATGTGGCCTTTGTTTTGTGAAAATAACCATCAAGGAGCAATATTGCTTATCTATCACTCATCTCAGTAAAATGTAACTTAGAGACAGTAAATAGCAGAGGAAGCCAGGTTAGTAAGAGTCTTTACTATCCCTTGCATTCTCTTTGCTTATTCTACTTTTGATTCTATGGGTTGGAGAGGTTGTCAGATTGTGACTGCTTTTTGCTTTTGTTCTGTTTAGCCACAGTCTTGGGACTCTTACAAAGGCGTGTAATACGATATCTGGAATCATGCTTATAAGCCACCTGGGTTTATCCAGTACTATAAAAACCTACTGGCCTATACTGTAGCATTTTATCTCCTGAAGAGGAAAAAGAAAAAATAATGTAGTAAATAAACACGTTCTAAGAGGGGGCATGTGACATTTTGACAAGTGTTAAGGAATATTAACTATCAAAATGTTTTTCCTTTTTCTTTTAGCTCCTGGTATTATTGCCTGCACATTGCTGGTATCCTAATATTATTGTTGTTGCCGGTCAAAAAAACTCCAAGAGGAAAGAATACACATGAAAATGTTCAGCTCTCACAATCCAAAAAGTTTAGCGAAGGAGAAAATTCTTTGGAACAGAACAGTTTTTCCACAACAAACAATGTTTGCAATCAGAATCAAGAGATAGCCTTCAGACATTCTTCACTAAAGCTGTGATAGGGAAAGGCTCTGGTGGCTATTTTTTGTATGTTAACAGAAACCAATCTTAGTACCTTTTCTAGGGGTTTGTGTTTGTTTGGAAAGAGATAACTGGGGGAAAATGGGACAGTTATAGATAGGGAATTTCCTGTACACTAGACTGGAAATGGAGTGAAATATCCCTCCCATGCCATGTTCCTGTGGGCCACGCCTTATATAAAAAGATTTCCATATTTCAGTGGGCACTCACAACCTCAGCATACTTCCATAGGGTCACGTGTGCCCTGTTGCTGAATGTACGTTGCCATATCCCAAGGCACTGAAGAGGTGGAAAAATAATCATGTCAATCTGGATGATTGAGAGAAATTAACTTTTCCAATGAATGTCTTGCCTTAAACCCTCTATTTCCTAAGATATTGTTCCTAAATGGTATTTTCAAGTGTAATATTGTGAGAACACTATTTCAGTAGTTGATGTGGTATGCTATAAAGGAATTTAGGAGGAATTTGAAACAGAATATTTAAGAATGTGGATACTTTAAAAAATGCAATAAACATCTCAGTATTTGAAGGGTTTTCTTAAAGTAAGTCAGATGACTACAATACATAGTGAAGCTCTAAACAGTAATGGATGCCAAATTATAGGTGGCTTATTTTGCTGGAGAATTTAATTACTTTGTGCAGTCAGAGAGCCCTTCAAGGAGGAACTTCTTAAACATAATTAAAGGTTGGTAATGTGATATTTTAAGCTTATTTTCTTCTTAAAAGAGTGAGATAATAAAGGCAGGCAGGAAGGCAGGAATGAAGAAAGCACTGTGTGGGCCTCAAGCTGAAAGCACTGGGCGGAGTTGCTGCTCTGTCGTACGTGTCTCACCCAGATATGTTGAGCTCTTTGTGATTGTGAGACATACAAGTTTAGTGACTTTGTAATACTTTGGACTTTTAAATGAAATGTATCAAGCATAAATCATATAGAATTAGAAAGGGAACTATGAAAATAGTAGTGGTAGATTGCACAAAGGTTTTGAAAGAGAAATCGCTAGGTATGATTACTATCTGGCTTATCAATTTTTTATTGTTGACAGTTTGATTCATATTTGGGAAATTTTAGGGAAATGAAAACTGAAAGTCATTGTCTGAATGACATTTTTTGAGAATAATTATAAATTCATTTCCAAACTATTCTTACATTAAAATTCTGCTGTTAACTCTTATTAAAATGAGTTTTAGATTTCTTAAAGTAGAAAAATGTGTTTTTATCTTATGGGCCATTTTTACCATGATTAATTTTGCCTTGAATACTAGGTGTCTCCTGTAATCCCACAGAGTATTGCACTGGCTGCAGTAGCTAAAAGCAGAAGAGTAGCTTTCCATGCCAGGCAGTGGAGCTGGCCTCTTAGCCTCAGCCAGATTGTAAACTCTGCCCTGTGGGAAGAGAGGGGCAAGGCCTTCTGACTTCACCCTTATTTAATCAGTTTTTTGTGGAATTTATTTTTCTTTTTGCCTTAAACTTTTAATGAAATGCAAATTGTCTGTCTGTGATGAGTTTTTCTTTTTCCTTTTGGTTTACTAATAAATTTGCAAATGAAGTTAAAGATGAAACAACAATTTGGCTTAAGCTATGTAGTATTTCATTTAAAGAAGAAAGGAAAAGCAAATGTACTTGGAGCTTTTGAGGTCTTAATCAGCAAAACTGGTAATATATCTTTTTTGAACTTTAGAAATATCCTAGTCTATTTTTATTTTTCTAAAAGTAAATTTTTTCCATCTGATGAGACTAACCTTTCTTTTTCCTCCCAGGAAAGGATATATAGCTAAATAAAATTTCTCTGTTTTCCCTTGCACTGAAATTATGCTAGCTGTATAATGTGAGTAGATATAAAAGAATGTTCATAAAAAGTATCTGCCCCCAAAATTTCTCCTCAGTTTAATTATTGCTATAGAGAATCTGATCAGTATTAAGAGAAAGTAGGCAAATTTAGAGTTTAAAAGACAGGCCTAGTCATGTCATAAGTGCAAACAAGAAGACTTAAAAAAAAACTTTGGGGTTTTTTGTTTTTGTTTTTCTTTGGTTTAACCTATCTAGCCACTTATAAATAACCACCATTTGTTTCTATTACTGTAATATATTTTATTTCTCAGTCTGTAAACTTAAATCACTGTTACCTGTCTCTTCCTCAGTGACTATAATCTTAGCACTGTCATCCACAAAGCAAGATACTAGATTAATTTTCCAATTAATTTGAAGATAATACATTACATATCCAGTCTGACTGATTTTCATCCCCCTAAATCAAATCGTTATTTTTAAGAAATGGCTTTTTGGTAGCTGTCCTGTAATTTGGAGAAATAATAATTACAAATATGCAATCTAGAGGAAAAATTAAAGATTCTAAATTCTCAACTTGATTTTTCTTCTCAAGAAAACATTTTTTGTGCTCTGTAAATGAATTGCCTACTTGGAGTGTTGTAAAGATTAATATTTTACTTCTAGTACTAACAGTAGAAGAATTTAAAATGAATATATCTCTACTGCTACTAAACATACAGAGATTTATTGTAATATATGCTTGCTTTTTTAAAATCAACACAGTAGGATTCAGTGTATATTTATATTATTTTTCCACTTTTCAGGTATCATGAAACCACTCCAGAGATAATCAATCAATATCATATTTATACTTTCAGTTAATTATATACTACTCAGGGATAAATGAACAAAAATATTCTTCCTTCAGTTTCATTTCCTTGGAACAGTAATAGTAATAGCTAATTTAATATGATATGTTTCAGCTATTACCATTTTACAAGGGGCTTGTTCTGCTTTTAAATTATGTATTTTTAATGGAACTCAGGATAATTGAGGAAATTTATTTAGCTTCTAAAATATCCAGCATGATAGATTTATTTGGTTTCAAAAATATTCAGCCACCTTTTTCTTATCAGCTACCACTGTCCACTTGGTTCAAAAGTATTTGTATTATTGATCCTCACCATGTGTGACACTGGCACATAGGATTTTCCACACATACCACTTTTGGGGAAATTGGGCAGTGAAAAGGAGGTGTCTAAAAAGTAAGAGGAACTCAGTGTTTAAGCACTAACTGATCTGGGAGGAGCCCTGAATCTTCACTCTGGTTCTGTCCTTAGTGAGCCATAGAACTTGGAGAGTCACTTGTCCTGTAGACCTCAAATTTCTTAACTTTAAGCAGAAGGGTTAGTCTTAAGCGTTTAGGACCAGTTTTGTGTTATGAATGAAACTATTAGCAAGACCTGTAGGATTCAAGGACTTGGGCAGATTCACTGTCAAAATGATTGCTCATAGTTGTTGAGTTTGACAACTTGAGCTCAAAGCCCTGACTTTTCAAAAAGGTTGCCATAACAGTGAATAACCTTTTAATCCATTAAATTGGAAGGCATGGCAATGTAGCATTCTACTGAACATAGCCCTTAAAATGAGTCTATACTGAAGAAAACATGTTTTCCTTTTCTCTCTCTGCTTTTTGGGTTTCTTTTTGTAATATGTAAAAATGGAGAAGATAGATGCTATTAAATAATTTTATACAAATTACTCACTACTGGACAGGGCTTACCATACCATATAACATCTCAAAAATTATTTCATTCAAAGATATTTAAAGCATATTTAATTTAATTGTGTTTTATTTTAAACTGCAGAAAACAGTTGCTTTAAAATTTTGCTGTTAAAATAGTTACAAAAATTATACTTTTATTTGAGGACTATATCATTTTTGGACAAAAATCTTTTCTGTTTAAAAATCATACCTTGTAAATATTTAATTTGTATATTCATGAACAAATCTGAACATGTATACTTTTTTGTTTCCTTAGTTAATAAGTTTTAAGAGTTCTACATTATAATTGAAAGGAAAAGTTATTTGAGAGAATGATTGTTTCAGAATGGTGCCTATTATTGCTGTATCAGCTAAGGATTTGTCCAGAGTTTTAGATATAAGCCAGTATTTTGTGAGGTTTATTCAAGCATTAAGTTCATCCTGGCTGAAATTTAATACATCAGACTTAACATAGGTGCAGAATCCTAAATAACACTGTGAAATGTAATCTTAACTGCCCTCAAGTACCTTATAAAACTGTTACACTTAACCCAGTGTGCATTTAATGAATGGCTGATCATTTATACAGTCATCTTAGATGCTGAAATTTGTTTTCTGCGGCCCTTGTAAAAGTGAATTTGTTGTTCAATGCATGCTCCTAATGCTGAAGGAAAAGATTTGCATTTAAAAAAAGATGGACTCTGAAATTTGAGCTTGAAAGATTAGAATGTAGAGGGTCTGTCTCTACAGTGTTTTTCTGCAACACCAAGTAGTTAAATCTATTTATAGCAACTCTCATTATAAAAAAAATTTTAAAATGAAGTTTTCCACATTGGTATTTTGTAGGAATGCTCTTATAATTAATGATTAAGCTGCTTTTTGAGGCTCTTGTTGTACAGAAGATGCAGCCAATTACACTTTAATTGATAGGCTGCTGAATAATGTTTTTATATGTTTTAAAATAATATTTATTTTAATAGATTTTTAACATTATGCAATCCCCAATAAAGAACTGACAAGTTCCGTAAATCATTGATTGGGAAAATTTTGTGAAACAAACCTTAAAGACACACTTTTACACCAACTAATTTGTCTTGCCTTTAAAACTGATTATAACTCTTCTTTTAGTACAACTTTTATAAAGCAAAAGAACAAGAAAGAAAACCAAGACTATCTGTTCTATAAATTATACTGTAAAGATCCATGCGTAACCACTGTCTGAAGCTTCCTCAGTGATGCAGAGCCATCTCTCCAACCATGTTTTATGAAATTTTGCTACTCTACAAAAAAATGGAAATGCTATAATGAAAAACCAAGAGATACAGAGCAACATAAGTAAACAGATTAGGTAATTAGTAATAACATGTCTGAAATGGAAAAAGTGACTGGCTGCCTTGCTTTGGAGTCTTAAATCACTGTTCCTGCCCAGTCTGTATTTTGGGTTAACTTCTTTGAAAAATTGATATTTTAATATTTCTTCCTGTCCTTTTCCATTAAAGGACAAATATTTGTTGAGAGTTTGACAGACTCTCAAGAAGTACATTTGCTTCTGACTTTTTTATCACAAGGAAAAAGGAATCAAACATTGAACACAAGTGTTCCAAGCCAGTCTTGTCCGTCTTCTGTCACCTATATGTGACTGCTCCTCTGAACTAGAAGGGGTGTGATATAAGGCAATAGGAATGAAAATGCGAATAAGTCAATGAAATGAGAAATTCTTCTGTATGCAGAATGAAAATGTGTGATTTCATTCCTGCCTTCCTTTGAAAGTTGTATCTTGATCTCTGCCTAGTAGTAGTTGAAATTCAGTCCCCCAAACAAGAGGAGAGACCCAACTCCAGCAGCCAGAAATTATAGTATTTACATTTGCCTTCCCAGGTTGAGAATAGAATGTGTGGTGTTCTGTGCTTTCTGTTTTTATTATTCCAAAATATTTTTTTAAAGAAGTGTTATTTTTCAACAGATTCATATATTAGTTCTTGTTGTATGGTAAATTTAAA